TACCGATTATCACTGCATGTCCCTGACGGAATTGGTCCGTCTTTGATTGCTTGATGTGGAAGCGGATATATGTGCATCCTTGAGTGACGTCCAGAGTCACATCCTGGCGCGTGGCATGAGTGGCAGGGTCAAACCCGGCCGGAGGCGCAGTAAATTCAGCGCATCGGAGAAATCCGAAAAAGGCGAGCACCATTGCCGCCTTGAGCATGCACTTGTCCTGCTGGTGACGCCGTTGGTCCAGGCTGAGTTGGTTGAGGAGCTTCCGCAGCAAATCAATGGTGATTGGGAGGCGAGTGCGCTGGGTTGCTGGGTCAGTCGCCGTCCTCTTGATGCCTCGCATAACACGTGGCAGCAGCAACGCGTTCATCCTTGGATTATCGGAATCCGGCTTCGAGATGCATGTTGCGTACTGCGGCCATGTAGACATGACTTGTCTGTGGTTGAACCGATTGCGCCAGGTGTGCTGCGAAGCAGCTGAGCATCGTGTCTGTAGCAGGCATGGGCGACCATCTCTGCAACGCACAGAATTGTGTAAACTTCCTTTCGCCAGTGGTGTACGTGCGCCGCGTTGTCGGGGCGATTGCCATGGCTGACAGGTCGGCGACCTCCCGCATCAGTCCAGGAGAGGGAGGTGGATTGCAGTGTCCGGGGCTTGCCGTGCTGATGGTGCCAGCTGCTGGAATGCCTGCAGGTTGAAACGAGCCAGAGCGTCGGCGATCGAATTCAGATGGCCAGGTACCTATTTGGCAGTAATGGTGAAGCTGTGAGTTGCACAAACGAAGAACAATGCACGCAGCAGTGACATCATGCCTGGTGACTTGCTGGAGTTTGACTTCAGGCATTCGACAACGGACTGATTGTCGCAATGCATTACGATACGTTGCCGGGACCACAGATTGCCCCAAGTACTGCAAGCCATCGCCACGGCATAGAGCTCTTTGTATCCGATGCTCTCTTCTTCTTGCTCCTTTGCCCATCTGCCCTGGATCCAGCGCTGCTCCTTGCCGTAGAATGCGCGCCAGCCGAGAGTGCCGTTAGCGTCTGTGTACAGTCCAAGGTCGGCCGACGATGTACTGCTGTTATAGAGGAGGAATGCCTTTCCGTTCCAGTGCTGGATCAGAAGCTGCCACCAGCGGATGTCTTTCCTGGCCTCGCCCGTCAGAGTGATACGGAAATACGGCTTGGCGTGGCTAAACCTCTTGTTGATATCCCATAAGCGCCGCGTAAATGTTCTGCCTGGTACGACGACGCTCGACGCAAAGGAGAGTTTCCCCAGGAAGTGATCGAGTTTGCGTTGCGTGGTCTGGGTGCAGCGTGACATCTCGCTGAGGAGCTCACGGAGGTCCGCCAGTTTGTCGTCTGGGAGATGGGCTTCCATGCGCACCATGTCCAGGACAATTCCGAGGAAGACCAGGGATGTGGACGGGCCCTCGAGCTTTTCCTCGGCTAGTGGGATTGATAGGTATTTGAATGCTTGCAGGATGACGTTCTTTGCCTGGATAGCGAGGCTTCGCTGAGGAGGGCTGATACTAAGAAAATCGTCTAGATAGTGAAGGAGGTGAGGGATGGCAAAGTTAGTCGTAATGATCCACTCAATGGCACTGGCAACCTGGTCGAATAGAAACGGGCTGGAGCGTAGGCCGAACGGCAACACTCGGTCAAAGTAATATTGCCCTTGCCACTGAATACCAAGTAGAGACCAATCGGACGGGTGCACAGGGATTAGCCGGAATGCATTGCGGATGTCCAGCTTTGTCAGCAATGCACCCTGCCCGTAGGCCATAATTGTTTGCACTGCATCGTCTATCCGGATATATGACAGGCTAAACGCGGACGGGTCGATGCCATCGTTAACACTATTGCCGACGGGAGCTGATAAATGGTGGATAATGCGTAGTTTACCATTCTTCTTGGGCACCACACCAATGCCTGAGCACTGGAAGGATGGAAATGGAGGGGTGGAATAAGGGCCGCAGGTCTCTCCCTGCGCACAGGATGTTGCTAGATACTCAGATATGTACACGGAATGTTCAGCAGATGAGGGAAGATTTGGGGCTGTCACAGTCTGACGGCGACCGGAGAAGCCTATGCGGAATCCAGATTGTAGGCCCCTGCTCACGCGGGAGGAGAATGCCTTGTCTGGATGATCAGCGAGCAGTCTAGTAAAGCGGGCAACATCAATGGGTGTGTGAATGCATGGCATACTGGAATCAAGAGCAGGGAAGGCGAGCGGGGGAAACTGTGAGTTACTATTACTGTCTGTACATGCCTGCTTTGCGGGAGCAAGGCTAGTGGCATGGCGTCCCGCCATGCTTGTGTCGGGGCCTGGCACGGGTGACTTACTTGCCTGACCGTTTGGCAGGTGGCGCTGATATGCTGGGCCGTGTGCTCGCGGGGTTGGCAGTGCAGGCCGTTTTGGGTGGCGGCCTTGGCATTGCAGGCAGAGGTGCGCTCTCCCGCATCCCCCTTGGCATCTGGCCCAGTTGAAATTCCGGCAAATTGGGTGGCCACCGACTGAGGGCGAGGAATGTGCGCCGCCAAATGGTGTGGCTCTAGAGGGACGAAAGGGACACTGCCCCCCAGCGGATGGAGGGTGAACAAGCGAGCATGCAAAGCACGGAGTTCGAGCCTTGCCAGTAGTGCTCAGCTGCCATATATTATGGTCGATCACATCCCAGCGACGGGCAGGGTTGCTAGCCGCCGCGCGGCGGAATTGCCGATCATACTCGAGCCAGCCATCCGGGACAAATTTCCGGTTGGCTTCTGTGATGATGGCCTGGTACCCAACCAGTTCGGAGGCTCTTTCTGGAGCTGCTTGCAGGATAGTGTGGAGCACCACCGTCCAAGCCTCCAACCACGTCGCAAGATCGCACACGTGGCGCCATGTGGAGGCTTTGGGCGAGAACTCCTGCGTTAGGCGCACGGGTGTGCCGTCCATAAGGTGCATCTGCACACCTGTGCTAGAGGGGTTTGGGGCTAATCCAACTGGGTCCACCAACAACTCAGACAAATCTAGGAACTCACCGGAAAGGATTCTGTCCCGTGTCCTCTGCGGGATGGTGGTGGTTGGGAGCTGCTGGTCCGCTGATCGTGGCCGGCAGGTAGCTGCGACCGGTTCCGATGCAATTTCGGTTGTTGTGGTGCTGATCGCGGATGCAGCCGGTGGTGGGGCCATGGCGCGGCGCTGGGAATCCAGAATCGCTGGCAGTGTTTCAGTCAGCACTTCTGCGATCGTGGCTTGAAGGCTTTCGGCCGGGATCACTGATTGTTGCGCCCGGGGGTTCAGGCATTGCAACCTGTGGAGCAACAGCGCTCTGGGAGACGGACGCCGCTGGCGGACCGCGTGGGAAGTTGTTTCGCGAGGCCGGATCTGTGGCGCGAGAATCGCCCAGGCTCGGAGGTTGAGAGGAGGCAGGGGCAGCTACCTCGGGAACAGCAGTCCTGCTACTAGTCCTAGTCCGTCGAGGCATAGCGAATGGTGAGGTGAGGGAGTTGCAAGATCCGAAAAGCCGAGAAACTGAGAAAGGAACAAACCGGTGTTCTTCTCACGACGCAAGCAAAGCAAATATGAAGTAGCAATGTGGCCAGCGCGAAGTATGGTGTGTGCGTTACGGGTTCAAGCTCCGATGTGTGCTGCAGCCGCATATGGCTGGTTGGCTGGCGAGTTCAGGTGAGTTCCGGCGTACGCATGTTACATGCCACCGCAGCGTGTATGTGCGTGTTACTTGACATGCATCAATGAATAGTGTGGGATCTGTGGGCTCTTTGGAAGCCGCTGGAGCGCGTGTGAAGTGGTGGCTTGTGCAATGTGTTAACCTACATTACCGCAAGCTCTAATGTGCTATTAATTTCGGGTGAGTGACAATATACTGCAGACTAGTTTCATGGTTAATTTCAGGTGAGTGACAATATACTCAAGACTAGTTCCATTGTTAAAGGGGAAGTTAAGGCAAAAATTAATATTTCACCAGTTGTAGTCTTCGGGGTGCTCAGTCAAATGGTCGTGGTCCGAGTAAGCTGAGACGCTCCCTTCCTACTTGAATCCCAATCGAACTCGCGCACTTCCACCGAAATTGGGTGACTGCGCCCTACTAGATGGGGATTAGTATGCAAAATGTCACTAAAAGCGCCATTTCGTTCTTATAGAAGCATGGATGACCGCGATTGGCCCATATGTTGTAGTCCTTTGGACTCTGAGTCGATTGGTTTTGGTCCGAAAAGGCTGCGATGCAGCGTTCCTCCTTTATTCCCAATCGAACATGGTTGAACAAGCGGTCACGTGCTCCTGCGTACGCCAGTCACCTGGTCACCGTGCCTGCAGGGTACAACTTACTAGCCTGTTTGACCTTTTTTGGGTGCAGTCCTGTCACTCGAGTTGAACTCGAGTTGAACCTTGGTGTGAAAGTTGTCGCCTGCTGGCGTGGTGACGAGGTGATTTGGGCACCCAGGAGCACGTGACCGCTTGTTCAACCATGTTTGATTGGGAATAAAGGAGGAACGCTGCATCGCAGCCTTTTCGGACCAAAACCAGTCGACTCAGCATCCAAAATACAACAACATATGGGCCAATCGCGGTCATCCGTGCTTTTATAAGAACGAAATGGCGCTTTTAGTGACATTTTGCATACAAATCCCCATCTAGTAGGGCGCAGTCACCCAGTTTCGGTGGAAGTGCGCGAGTTCGATTGGGATTCAAGTAGGAAGGGAGCGTCTCAGCTTCCTCGGACCAAGACCATTCGACTCAGCACCCCGAAGACTACAACTGGTGAAATTTTAATTTTTGCCTTAACTTCCCCTTTAATTTCGGGTGAGTGACAATATACTGCAGACTAGTTTCATTGTTAATTTCGGAAATCTGGAAAATCCATGCACCAGCGCTAGCTCAAACAATTTCCGGAAACTGTTTTTTTTGCCACATTTGTGTGTTGCGTTCGCCTTGATTCTAGATTCAGACCTGTGTTTTAGCTAGGCAGGCATGATGTCCTTGATGTTCAACTTACTTTCACAGATTGGAAAGTTGACCCAGGTTCCTTGGTGGCAATATGCGGGTCCTGTACTTTTCAGTGAATGACCTGGCAGGCACTGCGCTGAACCATCATCGTTGATTGTGCGAACGGCAGTGCTATTCACGTGAGCAGCATCATTGCATATTCCTGGCAAAGGCAACACAATGAAAGCAAGGACTGTCAATCACCCAGGTCGTTGTGAGTTGTAACATGGATGCTGGCTTTCATCACATAGTAACACCATGTGCCTAGCAAACCACTGGAGAGTTTCTATAATACTTCAACACACCCCGGCTACTAGTGGAAATTGAGAGAAAATATCTGGGAAAATCAGTAGAAGTGTGCAAGGCGATGCCTCAGAAATTTGGCTTCGGTTTGCAAGCGATGAAAAAACTGCCATAATATACGTCGATACTGAGAAATTGAGACCACTTTGTTCTTCCCATCGTCAACTTCAGCATTTCGTATTCAGGAGAGATACCAGGATTCTTATACCTGAGCCTGCAGTCTTGATAAATGCCCACGCGAACGATGTGGGACTGCACGAACTCCAGAAAACGAAATGCGCTCTGGGGCGGAATAGTGCGGAGCGTGATGAATTTGCTTGGTGTTTGAAGAGAGTTCCGGCAAAGTCAGAGACCACCACGGCTTCAGTATCAAGTATCAAGTATCAAGTAGACATTGCGCAGGAAGTTTGGCACCAGTGTTCGAACACAGAAAACAGCGACCCTGACGGTCTGACTAAGGCCGCGGTCACACAGAAAAGCTTGCACCGCTTTTGCGGAGGCGAAAAGCGGAACTACCGCAGCCGCTTTGGCGGACAACATGATGCAGCGTTCACACATACATGTAGACTACTGTGCCCCTCAACGCTCCGCTTTGGCGGAGAGAATGCAAATGCAGCACGACCTATGGAATTTTAGATGTTCTTGTCCGAGTTTTAGCGCCTTCGCTTGTACAAGTAGAGCTATCGTGGATCGCAGACAGGCTGCTGAATGTCTCCTGTCAAGTACACTCGTGGATTTGGGGCGCATTAACTGAGGCCCAGTACAGGTGTATTTGAATATTACTAGTTTGGTTTACATCAATATCAAATTCAAATAGTTGTATAGCAGGGTGTCGTTGCCTCCTTCTTGTCCGAGTTGAATCGACCTTCGCTAGTACAAGTAGAGCTATCGTGGATCGCTGACAGGCTGCTGAATGTCTCCTGTCAAGTACACTCGTGGGTATGGGGCACATTCACTCCGGCCCAGTCCAGGTGTATTTGAATATTAGTTTAGTTTACATCAATATCAAATTCAAATAGTTTTATAGCAGGGTGTCATTGCCTCCTCCATGATCCATCATCGACCCCAGCGACTGCGTGGATGCCTTCAGTTGCAGTGAGGGTGTGGCAGAGTACTCTACTACTCCCTGGTTGCAGTCCTAGTGTTGCATACTCTGGTTGACGCATTGCTTGGAGAGAGAAGGAGAGAGTTGGAGATCGTCCGTGATCGGGGCCAATGAGTTGGGAGACGGATTCCCTCACCAACTATCCACTCACATAGTCATAACGATGCAGTATCGTTTGCGAGATCTCCAGAACGTACAGTACATAGGCAAAGAAGAACAATATGAAAACTGAATACCAAACGGCAACCAAACAACACCAGAACTCAGCGCAGAAGTGGCACACCAAACTCCAAGGCCATCACCACGCAGGTTCCGCCAAAGCGGATCCGCGATAGCGGAGGTTCTGCTCGCATATTTTTGGCGTAGCGAAATCTAAACTTTCCGCCAAAGCGTAACTTACGCCTCTGCTGTTGCCGAGGCAACGGCGGAAGCGTAAGCTATGCTTTGGCGGAACCGCCAAAAAAGTGCATGTGTGACCGCGGCCTAAGACGAGCCAAGTCACAAATATTGCAATGTGCAAAGCGACAATTTTAATGACGCTGAGGAAGTACCTACAATTATTATCCACCTACATAAGAAGTGATTACTCCACAATATTCACCGCCTATAATCACCAATCGACGAGGAGACAATAGTCGTAAAATGGCAATAAATAAGATAAATTGTGCACTCATAACAACAGCAAAAATGAAGAAAGTCAAGTTGACTTTCTTCATTTTTGCTGTTGTTATGAGTGCACAATTTATCTTATTTATTGCCATTTTATAATCACCAATGTTAGTTATTTCTGAGGGGCTGTAACATGTCGACTTTCAAGGGACTTTTAACTTTTCCCTCCAATAAGAAGAGGAATAGCTTTGAGAAAGGAGATTAAACCTACAACCACAAGATTGCCAAGTACCTATCTTGACCATCTAACCAGGGTGCAGTCATGTATGCAAACCTAGTAATTATATTGCTGGTATATCGGTTTCATCTCAGGTTGAAGTAATTATCAGTGAATATTCACCCTCATTCAGCTTCGGGTAATGTTAAAATTGAAAACGTATACTTCTCCTTTAGAACTCAACCAGCTGAGCACAATAAAGGGCTGGCAATCATATCACCTGTTCTACTTACACGTCAATTGATATTGTATTTATTAGCAGATTAACATTTTTTTAAATGCATTTATTTAAGGGGATTCCCCAATCAAAGGCACAACTCATTGTCACTAATGAATTGTGTTGACACTTCTAACAGACACAGTATCTTATAAAACACTAATGTTCTTGGCCTCATAGATTTAGGCAGGAAACCAATCCTTATCGAGGTCATTTCAAACTAGTCAATGTTGTAAGGTTGTATCATACTTACTGGCTAAGCAGGCAAACGCAAATTTCTCGGAATTTGGTTTGATCACACGTCTCTTTAGGTTGTTGCTTTTGATTTGAAAAGCATAATGACTTTCAATGCTGAAGAGGTCGGATAGTCGGGACCAAAATAATGTGTCCTCGAGGACATTGACTCCAAGTTTAAGTTTGCGCAGTACACTAGAGAGAGTTTCCACTTCAAAGCCATTGTCAAAGTCCAGGAGTCTAGCATCATAACCGTAGGTGTCTATGCAATGTTTGGTCGCATTGTAATGATTCATCTTCAGCAAGTTCAGGCTAAAGGGAATTACCGGCACAATGACATGCAAATTATTCCTGTGGTACTGGGATGCAGCTGTGTATATGAAACGACACAAAGAGATAGAAGTTGAACAAGTGGAAAGAAACACATTCTGCTAGATCTCTTAGAGGGCCCTTGCACGCTACGTACATGTAAAATGTAACCAACTTGAGCGGGCGCTGCGTATGCGCAAGGCTGTTCAAGTGCAGTTGCACACTGAGAAGTGATCTGCTTGTACTTGTTGATTACTGGTATTCTTGCAATGCAAGCTCGTGGCGCACATACCAACATGAAAATAACACTGCGGCCCGAACGAAGCCGTTCTGAAGCATGCAAACATTGCAACGGAATGCTGAAGCAGGAATCAGGCCACCGACAGACATCCACACAGCGCCAAAAACAGCAAAAACACCAAAAAAAGTTGCCATCTGGAAAGGCAGGAATGCATGAAAGCTAAAAACAATCTTTTATACCCGTCCGAGATTTGCTGAAAATGTTTGCGCTACGTTGTAGGTTTCCCCGCCACATATGACGTCAGTTGACATGACAACTTGTACAGGGCCACAACTAAACAAGCGGTTTTGTATGCAGTGTGCAAGGGCCCGTATGGTAGACAAACGCACCACTGAACACAATTTTCATTTTTGTCTGAAATGTCTACCATAAGGGGCTATCGAGCCATGCAAAATGTTAGCACCACTGCATGCTGCTTGGGAATTTTCTCGCATTTTCTCATTGTTTCCCCTTGCTTAGTGTATTGCGCCCATAACATTCCGTAACGAGTAAGTATTTGCATTTTGGTTTACAACCTATCGAGTGGAGGAGAACAAGCTAGGGTCCATTATCGGAGACAAAGAGGATGTTGCCCCCGAATACAGATTGCTTCGGGCAAATTCGGCAAGATGTGGCCAGTGTAGTCACGCGGACATCTGGTCTCCAAAAAGCTACGGGTGAGGCTCTCTGGAGCCTTCGTCAAGCATCTGCTTATGTACAACGCAGGCACATGGGGCCTCTCAGACTCTCAGCTGTGTACTCTTGACTCAACCTATCGGAGGCATCTGAGAATCGTTGCAGGTATCCGCTACCCATTAGTAATCAGCAACGATGATCTCTACTGCAGAACTGAGATGCAACCACTGACCATCCTGGGAAGGGCCGGATTCCACTTCGGCTTCGCGGCTTTGTGGCACTTGGCTGCATGTAGTGGGGCAGCGCGGTTCCACGGAAACTCGCCATTCGCGGTACCGCGGTTGTGCGCTACGGTTTTTGATGACGTTTTACCTGCCTGCGCGCGCGCGAAGTCGAAAAACCCCCATGTTCTGGCCTGTGCAGCGAATTAAAAATTTGAATTTCAAAATTCTCGCGTACAAAACAATGCAAAGTACGGGAAACAGGTTGAGCCGCGACCACGGCTCACAGTTTTTGATAAAGAATCGTAGCGAAAGCTCGCGGTGAGCCGCGGCCTCGCTGCTCCAGCTCGAGCCGCGGTCACTATGGTGATGATGACATTTCAAGCCGCGGATGACGAGCTGTGGAGCAGCGGAGCCGCAGTGGAACCCAGTGTAAATACGTCTTGCATATAATTATACAATACCAGAACTACAAAACCCTGTGTTCTGGAAGTGTGGGGTAACAGCTACGTGTTGAATATACAGGCACATCGATCGATCAACTTCTTGCTGAGAATTATTATAGTATTTCACGATCGTCCAATTTAGCTGAATTTAGGAGTTGGCGCCATGTTCTATCAGCTTCCACAGGTGTCTGCGTTGTCGAAGTAACACAAATCGATGGCTTTGCTAAGTCATGGCCTGGGGAGTGAGTCTGTGTCCATCATCACATGGTAAGAGTAAATTGCATGGCAGGGACGCAGCTCAAAGAAACTGTTTGGTCACACAACAAATAGAGACTTGTCCTGCGCTTCAACATTTACCACAGTTTCAACTTGTCCTCTGTGACTCCATATCGATACAAGTTGTTTGTTGTGTTGAGTAACGAAAAGGATTACTTATCCAAGACACAGCGAACAACGGAACGGGTAGGACGAAAGCCATTTATAGACAGGGTGACAGACGAACTAAAAGACTACATGATGGAACAGAGAGCGAGATCGAGTGAGAGAGAATGCAAGATAAAGGGCCTGGGTAGCTATGGCACATACGGGTGTGCAAGTAGCTACCCAGGCCAATGGAACGAAAGGTGAGTATGATGTACTATGGGTGCATGCAGGCCAGCTTGGGAAAGGTGAGTATGATGTACTATGGGTGCATGCAGGCCAGCTTGGGAAAGGTGAGTATGATGTACTATGGGTGCATGCAGGCCAGCTTGGGAAAGTTTGTAGATTGTACTGGAGGAGGTACTTAACAGTTGTAAACCAGACGCATATGCATCTGCGTGCATGAGTTGTCATTTGCGCGGAATTCTTCGGGTTCACAGCGAGTTTTTCTCGGCAGCTCATACGGTAAGACGGCAAACTACCCGGGCGATCACCAGGATTGTTTTTAAAAATTTTCAAATGCACTGTAAAAGCATTTTCGTTCCTTTTTTGGTTTTCTGCCATATAAGGTGTCAGTGGATGACAGCTTTTACAGGAAGGCAGCAAAATGTTTCAATGATCCAAAAACCAAACAAAAACTTGGAATGACCTTGGAATGACACCAAACAAATGTCCTAGTCAGTGTTCTAGCCAGGTAAAAATAGTAGGGGGAGGGGGAGGGGGGGGGGGGGGACGGGAAACAGTTACCCGGTATCCCATTTTTGCACTTTACAATAGTGCCTTGCCACGCTAAATGCAACGTATGGCGAATCCCCGACTTCACCCCAGACAAATGTGCCTTTATGAACCATCTAATAGTGACGTTCGGCTGCATTTTCGTTGAATTGCATGAAAAACACGAAAATCGGAAAATGAGTAGGGGGCGGCACTTTTTCACAGGGGGGCGCTCAACCAGAGTAGGGGGCGCTGCGCCCCCCCCCCCCCTCCCCCTTTGGCTAGAACCCTGCTGGTGCAATTACAGCACAAATAGAATAGTTACATGTATCACTAAAGCAAACAGGACTTTAGTGTAGAACCACATACATATGCATCTAGCCGGTGTCAAGATACCATTCTCTGAACATATTGCTGTGTTTGAGCTTTCCGGATGCCATCCTTGTTCGCACACAGTTGTTCCATCTTCAGCAATTCCTTCAAATCCTGGCAACTGAGCACTTGGCAGTGGAGGTGGGCATACTGCTGCATCAGTGAAGAATATTAGTGCAATCAAAAAGCAGTGCAATAGTGAATAATAATTCTAGGGTGGATTGTGGCCATGAATAGCCACTGGTATTTTTAGAGTGAGTTCTGATATTGCATTTTGCATTACTATTTTCCCATGATCGCTTAGTGTGTGAAGCTCGGTGTAAAAACACGTTTCCATCCTCTTAATAATGTTTGAACTAGCTCTGCCTCTCGGTATTGAGCACTCTCTTGGACAGCCTGGAACCTCTCTTGGACAGCCTGGAACCTCTCTTGGACAGCCTGGAACCTCTCTTGGACAGCCTGGAACCTCTCTTGGACAGCCTGGAACCTCTCTTGGACAGCCTGGAACCTCTCTTGGACAGCCTGGAACCTCTCTTGGACAGCCTGGAACCTCTCTTGGACAGCCTGGAACCTCTCTTGGACAGCCTGGAACCTCTCTTGGACAGCCTGGAACCTCTCTTGGACAGCCTGGAACCTCTCCGTTTTAATTTGTTTAGTTATCACGCTCTTACTGTACTTCCAACACATACAATGTACTGCAACACATACAATGTACTGCGACACATACAATGTACTGCAACACATACAATGTACTGCAACACATACAATGTACTGCAACACATACAATGTACTGCAACACATACAATGTACTGCAACACATACAATGTACTGCAACACATACAATGTACTGCAAACACATACAATGTACTGCAAACACATACAATGTACTGAGGTGCATGTGCCACATACATGCATCAGCAAAACGTTCCTGTCAAAAAAGATGATTTGCTATGTAAACATGTCCGGGTAGAAGAACACGCGCTTATATGTGCCATAAATGTTTGTCGGTGTCCTAAACAATGGTGTTATTACAATATAAAGTAGCAATGAATAAAACTAATTTGCAGTCAAAACCATGCATGGACTCGGATGGATAGCCAAGGATCAATAAAAAAAAAATAGAAAGGACCAAGGAACTACAATGTCGTTCACAGCTGAGACTTTCAGCTCGTGCTTGTCTTGAGTGTGCTCACCTTCCCCTCCTATGTTATCATATACTTTAGAACCTTCCAAGTAGGAATGCTGTTGGAGTGCGCCGCCAAGATGTGCTAGAGGTGCTAGCCAGTTAGTTGTAGAACGTCAGTACTGCCAGTCAGTGTCGTGCTATGTTATCGCATGAGCTGATTGTTTAGTAACTGGTGGTGTTAGTGGACATTGTGCCTTAACTTGCAGTTCCTTTTTTCTATAAATTGATCCTTGGCTCTCCATCTGAGTCCATTCTTGCACACCTGATGAACCGTCCTTATCTAATGTACAGTACGGATCGGCTATAGCGTTGGTGTTTGATTTTCGTGAAAATATCACTATAGGGGATATATTACTATAGGCGATATGCATACTTAGGTATGGCTGACAAATGCGTGTATGGTGTCATTCGAATCAGTGCAGCGTGCAGAAGCGTGCTGTGCATATGACTGTGCAATACGCGCAGTGCAGAGCTACTTCCTGCGGAAACAAAAACTTTGTGATTTTTTGACATGAGTTTTCATGGAGTTGCTGTGCTCAACAAATGTGTTCTTTTGGAAGAGAAACACTTCAACACATTCAATCGACATAACAATATCTACAGGATCGATTAGTGGGAGTAGAGTCTCAGTCTGGGTCGCCATCGCTCGACTCATCACCGGTGAAACCGTTCCAAGTAGCAGGTCGATCGTGATGTCGTATTTCACGGAGAAGCTTCTCCGCGTCCCTGATCGTCTTCGCTGTTACCTGAATGCCTTCTCCAACATCTCGGCGGAGACCACGGTAGCGCTTCAGTGCTGGTACTAATTACTGCCTCCGATCTTGCTCGAGGATGCCCCGGAACAACAAGCACAGCCCACGCCAAACATTTCGAATTATTTCCTCCGAGGAAAATCATAGTCGTACCAGCGCTTCCTGGCTGCCGCGATCAGATCTCGCCATGTAGATCTACGATGTATAATATTTTATGATCATCACTATGGCCGATGAAAAATGTATGCAATAAGATCATTTTGATAAAGAAATCGTATCATTATAGCCGATATATTACTATAGCCGATTATTACTATAGCCGATCCGATATGTATAGAAAGGGGTGGTTTACGAAAATGAATTTGAGAATACGATCACTATAAGAGGTATATTACTATAGCCGACCACCCTATCGCCGATCCGAACTGTATACAGAAAACGATCCTCGTGTGAAACTGCTGCTTGTTACCGCTGCTTATTGTCCATCAAAATTGTCATAGTCGACGTAGAGTGCTGTTTTACTGAGGCGTCCGGTTTTGCTTGATTCTTTTTCACATAGCTTCCCCTTCATCATCAGTTGAGCTTGAGTAGGTGAATAAATGTCATAACCGGAGGGCTGATCCCCACCACCATGGCTGCTGCATGTTCCCGTTTATTGCACCACATGGATTTTAGCAAATACAAAAATCCAACAATGAGAGGCCAGATTTCCACTGCTACAAACACACCACAATCTCCACAAAGCAGTCTGACAGTGTTGACCATTAAGGTTAGGAACAAATGCAGAGAATCGTTTTCCATTCCCAGGAATGACAATGAATGTGGGTGGGAAATGGTACACAACAGACAACTGAAAACGGTCGATGTTTCCTCGTAGAAAGGGTACATCGTGATCACATACTTTGGATATACTGTGTTAGTTTGGACTATTAAAGGAGAGTTTTAAGAGGTTTGGATCCTGAATTATCCCGTAACACTATGCCCATGTATATCAGGTTACACGCGTGATGCACATGTATATCAGGTTAACCCTGCGGTGCTGGTAGATCGATTTCCACCTCTGCTGTTAATTAAGGACGAGATTTGCGGTTGAGCAAATGTGTTTGGTTTTGCGACATGGTCCGAGACTAATGTCCAACTGTATTCACAGTTTGCATCGAGTGTATTTCACACAATGCTGTCAATGAAACTACAAACGAGAGAGCTTGGAAGCTCAGGGCCCTACGCTATGCTTTTTTGCCTTGATGACCTAGACAAAAAAAAAGCATAGGGATGTTATAAATTCTTTAAAAAATCCTTTTTAAGACATAACCTTGGATTCGAACCCGCACTATCGCGCGCCCTGCATGCATCCCCCCGATACACTTCGCATACATACTAATTCTTCCAAGTTGTTTCACATTGTGATCTTGCATTTGAAAGCCCTATTTGAATATGCATTGTGGCCAGCCGTCTTTGATGGCACGGTACGGTAGGGGATAGGTACGGGACAGGTACGATCGAGGGTAATACGACACCGTCTCCCATACCGTACCGTACCATTAAACACAGCTGGCCACATACAGCTGCCCGCAATATTTAAATAGGGCTTTCAAACGCAAGATAATAACGTGAAGCAACTTGGAAGAATGGGTATGAATGCGAAGTGTACGGGGGAATGCATGTAGGGCGATAGTGCGGGTTCGAATCCCAGGATTTGCCTGAAAAAATTAGGAAAAATTGAAAAATTTATAACATCCTATGCTTTTTTGCCGTCAGATACGGATAGCGCCAGGCGTGACACAAACAAACAAACAAACAAACAAACACACAAATACCAAATTAAAGCTGTGTGGACCCTGGCTAGCGCCAGACGTTACTGAAGTAACGTCTTCTGCATAGCTACGGGAATTAAAATTTCATTATCTTACATGGCTCTGAAGAGGGGTTGAAGGAGTAGATAACGCCATGATTGGATCTGATAGCAAATTGTCCATCATCTATGGAGAGATTGGCCAGTCGACCAAGTGGGTTTTCCGTGAACACCTGTTGAACTTTCCACATTGACTCATAGTTATATCTTAATACGGTCACGTTCCCTGGTGATTTTCCTGCAGCTGGTAGCAATGCTGTGATAGGTTCACCTGTACACAGGGCAGTGCAGAACATTACACTCAGTCACATGACACTGTGGTGAATATTACCTATACATAATTGTACATAGTGATGTAACAGCCAGACCGAGTTAGAACATTACAGATTGCATACAACTGTATCCTGCATTTCATGACCAAAAATCTGTACAAAGTCCATCATGGCGTATGTGTAACAGGTTTAATCAAACTTGAAAAGTAAGAGGCCTGGTTGAGCGTGCCTCGACCAGTTATATGCAAAATGTGATAGTATACATGTGGCAATGGCGCCAATGAAGGTGCTAATAGACAGGCGTAAGACGCACGAGGTGCGAGGGAGTGTAAAGTTATAGAGAACAGGGGAAAACTGTTACATCATCCCCCTCCTATGGAGAGGAAGGAGCTTATAACCCAAATGCTCAAGTGGAATAGAGTACAATAAGCGCAAACACGTGCGAGACGAAAAAAGGCTTCGCACTGAAGTAACACAATAAGACGACTGAAACTCCATGCAAATAAAGTGTAATAAGCTCAACAAATGTGTAAGGTGAAACTAGAAGTTCAACTGCAAAACTCAGCGGGCAGAAGCCAAGGTTTTGTACTTCTGAAGTGGAACAATGTCATTACCAGATTCATCCAACAAATAATGTTCAGGCTCCCAAGTGGCATCAGAGTAGCCTTGCCACTTGACTAGGTACTGAAGCTGATTCTGCCGACGGCGGTGACTGAGAATGTTCTCCACCACATAGCGGGCATGACCATCAAGGTCCGTGATAGGCGGAGGCGTAGGCTGTCTCCTATTAGGAATAGCGTTCTTCTCGTAGGCACGGAGTGCCGACACATTAAATACCGGGTGACAGCGGCTGGTATGAGGCAACTTGAGCTTGTAGGCATTCGGGCCGACCACATGGGTTATAGGAAAGGGGCCAAACCACTTGGGGCGTAATTTATGGGATGGTCGGTCCCGAGCTTCAGGAGTCAGGAGGAAATCCCGGTAGACCATTACCAAATCTCCCACCTTCAGCTTTCCCTCGACCCTTGTCCGATCTGCATAGAAGGCCTGACGAGCTTGAGCTGCCACTAGCGCATCTTGTGAGATCTTGACCGCGTCTTGTCTTGCTTGCAACCAATCAGCTGAATCTCTGCCTCCCTGAATAGGGTTGAGGAAGTCGGGTGGCGCTCTGGGATTTAGACCGTAATTTAAGAAGAACGGTGTGTTTCCTGTAGCGCTGTTGATAGAAAACTCACAGAGAGGTAGGAGCATATCCCAGTTATCTTGTTTATGATTTACAAAAGCCCTCAGCACATCCTCTACTATTCTGTTTACTCGTTCAGTTAGGCCATCTGTCTGAGGGTGATTGGCAGTACTAAATGCTAGTTTCGTTCCTAAGCGATCAAACAATTCCTGAAAAAATGCTGCCGTAAATCTTGGATCACGATCACATACAATACTAGAACTCAAACCATGAAGTCGAAATACATGTTGAATATACAGATCAGCACTTCCTTTAGCGTCAATAGTAGAGGAAGTAGGTGCTAAATGTACACACTTTGTCAAGCGGTCTACAAATACATATATAGCATCATGACCTGTATCGGTCCTAGGCAAACCCATGATAAAATCCATCGAGATATCTGCCCACGGCTGACTGGGCACTGGTAAATTCTGCAAGAGACCAGTTTTTAGCTGGCCGCCTTTAACTCGTTGGCAGACGTCACATGACTTGACAAACGCCTTTACATCCAGTCCCATTCTGGGCCAATAGAAATATCTAGAGAGTCTGAAATAGGTGCGATCTCGACCGGGATGCCCCGCAGTCACACAGTCATGGTATTCTTGAAGCAGGGCGAGTCGGAGTTTGCTACTCTTTGGAATGCATAACCTGTTCTGTGGTGAAGATCTGAGATAAAGATAACCGGGTGTTTCATTTAGAAGGTAACGGTCGTGCAGATTGTCATGGCTTGAATTTTTCAGTCTCCTGATAATGGGAGCAAGATCCTTGTCGCACTTGTAACCGTTGACAATTAACTGCGCTAAGTCTGGATTAATCTCTAGGGTATGCTCTATGGCATTCAACTGAATGTTAGGAGGATAGGATGACCCGCCTATTTCAGAATCACTGAACAGATCTGGACGGCGTGAAAGCGGGTCGGCAATGTTTTTCTTTCCTGGTTTGTGAAAGACCGTAAAGTCATAGTCAGCTAAAAACTCTACCCATCTTGCCTCACGCTTGGTGAGAGTCGGTTTGGTTCGTAAATAGACAACACCCATATTATCAGTCATCAGGTCAAAGTGGCGGAATAGATAGATTCTCCAGCACTTTAATGCAAATACCACAGCCAACGTTTCCCTCTCGGCCGCAGTATAGTTGCGTTCTGCAGCTGACAGTTTCCGACTACAATAGGCTACGGGATGCAAATCCATATCTTCTCCCTGCTGCAGGAGCACACCCGCCACGGCAAAGTCACTTGCGTCAGTTTCTACCATGAAGCTTTTCTCAACATCGGCCAGTTGCAACACTGGCGCCTCGAGTAATGCTGATTTTAGAGACTCGAATGCCTTCTGTCTAGCAGCGCTCCATTCAAAGCGTGAATTTTTTCCGGTGATTTCTTCTAATGGACGAGAGATGGTCGAGTGTCGATCTATGAACCTTCGGAAATAGTTTGCAAAGCCAAGAAACTTCCTCACATCAGTTACTGACGACGGAGTTGGCCATGTTTCCACAGCACTTATCTTCTTGGGATCAGGGGAAATTGATGTGCCGTTGATTTTATGCCCCAAGAAGAGAACTTCTCTCACGCCGAATTCGCATTTAGACTGTTTGCAATACAGCTCACTATTTCTAAGTGTTTCTAGAACTGTTTGAAGATGATGCTGATGATCTTCCCAGGTCTTGCTGAAAACTAGAATGTCATCCAAGAATACTACAACGAATTTTCGGAGATGCGGTTGCAGAATAGAGTTCATGAGAGACTGAAAGGTGGCCGGGGCATTAGTCAGCCCGAATCCCATGACTCTAAATTGGAAGTGGCCGAACGGCGTATTAATGGCCGTCTTAGAAACATCCGAGTCTTGAATTCTGATTTGATTGTAGCCTGACCGCAAGTCCAACTTGGAGAAATATGCACTGCCCTGGATCGTGTCGAATAAGTCATCAATATTAGGAAGACAAGCTTTGTTTTTGATCGTAATTCTATTCAATTCTCGCCAATCGCACACCATTCTCAGAGTACCATCCGACTTTTTCACAAAAAACACAGGTGCACCGTATGGCGACTTACTTGGCTCAATGAATCCCTTCTCAAGTAATTCTGATAGCTGTGACTGGAGCTCGTCCATCTCTGGTTTCGGCAGGCGGTAGGCGGGTCGAGACGGTGGTCTGGCTCCATCTTCTATCTGGATTTCATGGTCGACTGGTCTCTTCGGTGGAAGCTCATTCGGCAGCTCGTCTGGAAATAAATCCTGGTACCTCTTGAGCAGGTTCTGGATGTCTTGTTGCTCTGATTCCTGGAGTTGTGGCCCGGAACGATTCTCCTCGTTTGCAGCAGTGACCCATGCAAGAAACCCCTCGGCTCCACTCCTCAGGGCATGACGAGCTTGTCGGCCACTGATAAACATGCTTTCCACAGATGGCCGGTCGGCTGTCGGCGGGTTAGCTGAAGGCAATTTGGCAACAAAGGGCTCACCGTCCAACTGAACTTCGTTCGTACGGAAGTTGATGCTGGGGTTGTTCCTTGTAAGCCACGGCTTGCCAAGAATAGCGTCGTAGCGAGTCAGGGGATACACAGTAAAGTGCTGTTCCTCACTGAAGCCCCCGACTGTCACCCTTAGCGTGCGTGTGGAAATCTGCGGGACCTCGCTGGTCGAGCCGTCCGCCAATGTTACGCTCAGCACTGCTGAGCTTGCATCCGTGTCAAGATGATGCTTTCGAACAAAACTGTCTGCAATGAAGTCATGCGTCGAACCGGAATCTATCAGCATCACTGCACGGCGACCGCCGATCTTTCCCTGTATGCGCAGTAGGTCGTGTTCAGGTTCATTGCCGACGCTGACGTTGCTGACATGACACCTTTCTGCAACGGGACAATTTCCTACAGCTATGGGTGTCTCCGGCTCCGTAGGTTCCTGGAGAGCAACGTCTTCAACCTCCAGAGCTCCGAACCGGTTAGCGACTGGTACCGGCGTGGGCGCTTGGGTCGTCGCCAGTAAGCGCACCCCCTTTCTTACTGGCGACCAGCGTTTGGGTAGCGCTGTCCACCCTCAGTACAGTCTTTAGCGAGGTGGCCTGGCTTCCTGCAAGCAAAGCAGTGTCCCATTGCTCGCAGTTGGACACGCTCTTGGTCCGTCAGCTTGCGGAGGCCCTGACCACGGAAGCTGGGCACGGAACGCGACTCTCTACTGGCTGGTGGCCCCGACGCCGGTGGCCCTGACGACTGCTCCACGGTGTTTGCTGCCATGACAGCTTGCTCCAGGGTACGTGGATGCTCACGCATGACCTGTCGCTGGATGTGCGGCACTAGACCCCTGACGAACAGCAGCGCTCTGGTGTGGTGGTCGATTTCCGGCACTTGCAGGCTGAGGCGAGTGAAAGCAGCAATGTATGCGTCCAGCGACCCGCGCTGCGCTGCGGAAATTAGTCCCATACGCGATGTTTCCTCGTTGTGCCGTGGTCCGTACACATCGCCAAGTGCCGCTTTCAGAGCAGGCCAGTCGGAAAACACTTGGTTAGCTTCCAATGCCGCTATCAACCAAAGACGAGCGTTTCCAGTCAAAAATCCTGCCGCGTAGTCGACCCTCTGTGCCGCATTTGGGAGTGCCAACGACCGTAGGGCCATGTCCATTGCAAACGTCCATTCTTTGAATGTAGCGGAATCTCCTCCAAACACAGGCGGCTCTTTCGTAAGGCGGGGTGTTGGCTCCCACGGTTCCGAGTTCGGATGTATCGTTCGGTGTCCTTGGCTAACGCGCTGAGCGGTCTTGATATCGTTTATCAGCCGAACGACGAGTACGAGGAGCGTAAGCAGAGCGACCAGAACACCTGCCAAAAGCAGAGTAGTAACCATCCTCTGCTACCAGTGTAACAGGTTTAATCAAACTTGAAAAGTAAGAGGCCTGGTTGAGCGTGCCTCGACCAGTTATATGCAAAATGTGATAGTATACATGTGGCAATGGCGCCAATGAAGGTGCTAATAGACAGGCGTAAGACGCACGAGGTGCGAGGGAGTGTAAAGTTATAGAGAACAGGGGAAAACTGTTACAGTATGGTAAAGGATGGGTATGAACAGATACCATAACTGGGGAGCGGGTAGTGAACTGCATGCCATTTACTGGCATTTAGGTAAGGGGTTATTTTCCAGTCTCCCGGTCTGTCCTCCCCCCCTCATTACCATGGATACGGTAGTCTTGGCGACAGGATGAATCTGGTTCACCAACCAGAGGCAATTTTTTCTGAAATTTCAATTACTGCATTCATGTCGTCCCTGCAGCAGCGCTGCAGGCAGACTCTGAACTGTATTTTCCAAATTGGAGATGTCCATACGCATCAGCCATTGCTACTGACATCACTACCAGTATGTTCATACACCATTGTGCTCCTACTGGAATTCATTAGAGACAGTTTGCAAACAAATAGCCCTTTTTATGTCTGACATTCTTGGCTAAGCGGGCAGGCATAGTGGGATGGTCTGAGATCATGATTGAGATGTGCGTGTGTCAGACTGGACCATATCACTTACATCTGTGTGCCGATGTCCTCATATAACCGGGTTTGCACACACACCGGTCTTCACCAGGTACAACTACCAAGTTGTCGATGTCGTTGCAGTACCCTGTACCAATGCACACAGAAACACATTACAGAGAACTATTTCAGAGGCCGGGGGATCATCGAGTGCCATAAAAAACAGCTGCCACCATTGAGAAAGCTCAGAGTCTTGTATAAATGCTTACATAAGAGGCCGGCTTTCAGGCAAAGAAGCAGAAGGCAGAGAGACAGACAGCCCAGCTAACAGAGTAACGGGCAGACCAGTGAATATACAGATACATGCATGAGAGGAAGGCTAGAACACAAAGAAGGGAAAGGAGATAAACAGTACAGCGTCGTGGAGATACAGTCTGACAAGGAGAGAGATAGAGAGATAGTTTGTGTGTGTGCCTACGTGAGGTGATGCGAAAGACAGAGGGACAGACAGAGAAAATGGTGGACGGACAGACAGATAGACAGAAAGAGAGAGATGGATAGATAGATAGATAGATAGAGATAGATTGATAGATAGAGAGAGAGAGCGAGAGAGAGAGAGAGAGAGTAAAAGAGAGAGAGAGAACACGAGAGAGAAAGAGGGTGATAGACAGAGACAGTGACAGGCTGGTAAGTAGAAAGACAGACAGACAGGCAGGCAGCCTGGGAGACAGAGAGATCATGTTAGGGTGTGGGGAGTACAGTCCATGCGAAATTGATGGCATACAGATATCATCCGCAGTGCCTGTGGTTTGGCATTCCAGCTCAAAGCACCATTGGAAGAGCAGCGCGCTGCATGAGCCACTTACCCCCCCCCCCCCCCCGTTAGTTAGTTTTTTATATTCGATAGGAGTCAATATACCATTAAGAGTCAATGATGCAGACGGACAGACTGTTTCGGCCAATGAGGCCTCATCAGTGCAACTCCGAGCTTAAAATAGGATTGAACTGTCAGCCATGGCTACGAGAACCACAGACATTAGTCAATAGTTGTCCTCGTGTCGTGTGGTCGTTCGTTCCTGACACTTAAGAGAATCAGAGGATTCACAACACAACTACACTCATTCACATGCCCTTGTTTAATCAGATAGGACATCTCACAAGAACATGTATGTGGGATTCTACAGCAGACAATATTGAGACACTGATCTCTCTTCAACTGAACACTCGATCACTGAAACACAACCATAACGAGAGAGCTTGGAAGCTCAGGGCCCTACGCTATGCTTTTTGCCTAGCTCACCATGCATGTCATTAGAACTCATGGAAATGCTTTTTTTCCATTGATTGGCTACATCATTGTATTGCAAAAAAGTTTCAATCAGTTTGAATATGAGTTGGGCTAAAGTAATTGCAGAATTTATTGCGGATTGTTATTTTCTCTCACTTCATCTACTTTTGGTTTGCTCCTTCTTTTCCTTTTTATCTCCTTATAATCAGATTTTCTGGCCTCTTTGTAGTAATACATTGACCTGTTAAGCCAATGAAGTAAAATAGATTCCATACAATACGATACAATACAATAATGTCCTTGCCTTGATAATGAGCTTGTGCACGTTATCAGCAATGTCTACTGATCTTCAGCAACTTGGGTCTCCTATAATACGCATCCTGTCTATGCTTTTGTAATGCTAACATAATGCTTGGGATAGCCCCCTTTACTGATATTCAGAAACGTGGCCCGACTAGCACTCACAATAAGACTGTTGTAAAGTTCTTCGTTCCCAAGCGGTCGCTGGTTTCTCCCACAATTTCATCGCACTATTGTACGACATGCTATACGACATCCTTATACCGTACAACACCGTACTGATGTCTGGCGCTGTCGCCTTCATCTCTGGTGGGGGTGTAATCTAATGACTTTGTACATGCGTTATGATGGAGCAATCCCTTTGTCTGGGTTCGTGAAAAGGGCCATGCGTGCAAGTCAGCTCGTGTGAAGTGCATAGTTTTGTATTTAGTTGGTATGTGGCAGCTTATCGGACAGAGAGACTCCCCCCCCCGAGCTTGTGTATGAAAATAGTGTTTTACTTCGACCATGACGGCTACAATGTCCAACCATACACAACGAACTGATCGGCTATATCATTGTATTGCAAAAAGTTTCCATCTGTTTGAATAACATGCATGGTGAGCTAGGCAAAAAAGCATAGCGTAGGGCCCTGAGTGAAAGAAATAAACTTTCTCTTTGCATTCGAGGGTAATACGACACCGTCTACCACCTTGATGACCTAGGCAAAAAAGCTTAATGATAGCTTGCATGCCGTCCTACCGGTAGGACCACGGGTCCTACCGGTAGGACCGAAGAAATCGCGCTGCAAAAGTTATTTTGGTTGAGAAATTTCTTGAAAAAATTGTTGAGATGAGGTCTTTGTCAGGCAAAGTAGTGGCGCAAAATGCAAGGCTATGTCCAGTGCATTGCGTATGCGCAATTTTAGGATGTTATACATTTTTCATTTCTCCTATTTTTTTAACACATAACCTAGAATTCGAACCCGCACTATCGCCCTGCATGCATTCCCCCGATACACTTCGCATACATACTCATTCTTTCAAGTTGCTTCACGTTATGATCTTGCATTTGAAAGCCCTATTTGAACATTGTGGCCAGCTCTCTTTGATGGTACGGTACGGGACAGGTACGGGATAGCGCCAGGCATGCCGACGGCACAAACACGGAATTAAAGCTGTGTGGACCCTGGCTAGTGGCAGACGTTACTGAAGTAACGTCTTTTGCATAGCTACGGGAATAATATTATTGCAATGTTCTGCGTATTGTGATACTCTACAACTACTAAGATTGCTCAGTCTGTCATTTTATGAAATCCTGAGCAGAATGGGTGGCACACATTCTAGAGTATGACTTGATGGTCACAGAGCAGGAAACTTACAGGTTTCACAGATTGTTGGTCGTGCACCTGTGCAGGCGTCTTGAAGTATCGTGTTGCTAGATGGTAGGTAGGTCGTGCAATCAGACCCATTAAATTCATTGGTGTATACAGGTATGTAGGTGACGTTGTTGTCACGCAAGACTTGCGATGTGTTCAGCAGTTTTGAGGCACAGCTGAGCTGCTCCATGTCTGTAGACAAAGGCCGACCACCATATTGCTCGTAGCACGTCCGGTTTGCACCATCAGCTGAGAATGAGATGCTGTGGTATGTATACCTGTGTTTGCCGCACACTATAGAAATTGTTTGTGTATCTACAACACCAGACAAGAGACAGACGTACAATTATGCCATCTCAGTACCATACGTTATGCAGAATTATGATTTCTGCCAAGAGATTTGTCAACACTTGTTCATACCTGAAACACTTTAACCTGTAATACATAGATCACATAAAGAGGGGAGGCCAAGTCAAGACGAACTGGAACAAACCGAAAGTCAATATCCTACTAAACTCCTTGTTCCACTTGACTTCCCCTCTTTATGTACTTTACATACCTTTGAGAATCCAAGTTGAGTGGTCTGTGGTCTTGCGTGGTCGAGTTGTTGTCAGACTGGTGTATCCAATGTTCTTACTAGTCTGGTCATCATCATCCGGTGACGTTTGACATTCTTTGTTGCCGAGGGACATAGCTCGTGCACATCTTCCTTGCACATCCCTTCCCCTCATTGGGACTTTCTGCTAACTGTTTGCGCTTCGTAGAAGTGTTGGAGCTAGGTGCCGGGTCGTTAAATGTCTCAGCATACAAGTCAGTTTTGTCACTTGGGTGCCTTGTTGTCGCACTGTCTGACTGTATAAGATCTTGTGTGTGTAATACTTTGGTGGATGTTTAGTCATAACTCGAAACTTATTGGTCCTTTCACTTTACTTTTAAAATATTGGCTCAATATCCGCGTTTTAGCTTAGTTTTAGCTTAGTTTTAGCTTAGTTTTAGCTTAGTTTTAGCTTAGTTTTAGCTTAGTTTTAGCTTAGTTTTAGCTTAGTTTTAGCTTAGTTTTAGCTTAGTTTTAGCTTAGTTTTAGCTTAGTTTTAGCTTAGTTTTAGCTTAGTTTTAGCTTAGTTTTCCATAGTGTCTTTTACAGTAGGTCATGTCGGCCCGCCTCTGCAACATGACATCTGAGCAGCCTGGTCTTATACCCTCTGCAACATGACATCTGAGCAGCCTGGTCTTATACCCTCTGCAACATGACATCTGAGCAGCCTGGTCTTATACCCTCTGCAACATGACATCTGAGCAGCCTGGTCTTATACCCTCTGCAACATGACATCTGAGCAGCCTGGTCTTATACCCCCTGCAACATGACATCTGAGCAGCCTGGTCTTATACCCTCTGCAACATGACATCTGAGCAGCCTGGTCTTATACCCCCTGCAACATGACATCTGAGCAGCCTGGTCTTATACCCTCTGCAACATGACATCTGAGCAGCCTGGTCTTATACCCTCTGCAACATGACATCTGAGCAGCCTGGTCTTATACCCTCTGCAACATGACGTCTGAGCAGGCTGGTCTTATACCCTCTCCAACATGACATCTGAGCAGCCTGGTCTTATACCCTCTGCAACATGACATCTGAGCAGCCTGGTCTTATACCCTCTGCAACATGACATCTGAGCAGCCTGGTCTTATACCCTCTGCAACATGACATCTGAGCAGCCTGGTCTTATACCCTCTGCAACATGACATCTGAGCAGCCTGGTCTTATACCCTCTGCAACATGACATCTGAGCAGCCTGGTCTTATACCCTCTGCAACATGACATCTGAGCAGCCTGGTCTTATACCCTCTGCAACATGACATCTGAGCACCCTGGTCTCATACCCTCTTCAACATGACATCTGAGCAGCCTGGTCTTATACCCTCTGCAACATGACATCTGAGCAGCCTGGTCTTGTACCCTCTGCAACATGACATCTGAGCAGCCTGGTCTTATACCCTCTGCAACATGACATCTGAACAGCCTGGTCTTATACCCTCTGCAACATGACATCTGAGCAGCCTGGTCTTATACCCTCTGCAACATGACATCTGAGCAGCCTGGTCTTATATCCTCTGCAACATGACATCTGAGCAGCCTGGTCTTATACCCTCTGCAACATGACATCTGAGCAGCCTGGTCTATACCCTCTGCAACATGACATCTGAGCAGCCTGGTCTTATACCCTCTGCAACATGACATCTGAGCAGCCTGGTCTTATACCCTCTGCAACATGACGTCAGAGCAGCCTGGTCTTATACCCTCTACACAGGCGCCAAAGACAGTGCAGCCGCATGTACACAGGAGCCAAAGACAGTGCAGCCGCATGTACACAGGAGCCAAAGACAGTGCAGCCGCATGTACACAGGTGCCAAAGACAGCGCAGCCGCATGTACACAGGTGCCAAAGAAAGCGCAGCCGCATGTACACAGGTGCCAAAGACAGTGCAGCCGCATGTACACAGGTGCCAAAGACAGCGCAGCCGCATGTACACAGGTGCCAAAGACAGTGCAGCCGCATGTACACAGGTGCCAAAGACAGCGCAGCCGCATGTACACAGGTGCCAAAGACAGCGCAGCCGCATGTACACAGGTTCCAAAGACAGCGCAGCCGCATGTACACAGGTGCCAAAGACAGTGCAGCCGCATGTACACAGGTGCCAAAGACAGTGCAGCCGCATGTACACAGGTGCCAAAGACAGTGCAGCCGCATGTACGCAGGAGCCAAAGACAGTGCAGCCGCATGTACGCAGGAGCCAAAGACAGTGCAGCCGCATGTACGCAGGAGCCAAGGACAGTGCAGCCGCATGTACGCAGGAGCCAAAGACAGTGCAGCCGCATGTACACAGGAGCCAAAAACAGTGCAGCCGCATGTACACAGGAGCCAAAGACAGTGCAGCCGCATGTACGCAGGTGCCAAAGACAGCGAAGCAGCGTGTACCACGGTTCAGCAGCATGTACAGCAAAGAGACACAAATGCAACAGCATGTACGGCAAAGAGCTACACGCGCAGCGGAATGTACAACGAAGTGATACAAGCGCAGTGCAGCCATATCTCCAACACTAGGGTAGTAAGGATGTTTTTATGAGTATGAAAGTAACGTTAGATAGATATGAAACAAAGTCACAATCAAGTGACATCTGCAACCTTGAGTCCTTACATTTCTGGAGACAAATTTAGTTACATAACATTGAACCTTCCTGCATATCTCTGTCTTTGAGTCCCAGAAAACCGAAGAAACTGAATGTTCTTAACTACCGTCATGTATGTGTTTTCATCTCTAGTTTTCCACAAATCCAGCATCGCCTATGGGGCTGTTCACCACCAGTTCTCACTGCCATGACCTGTCTCCCCAAATTCAAACATTCCCTCTTCCAGTACTTCTGCCCATACACTCACTACACTAATGGCATACCAACACCTGCAGCATCATGACTTTCGCAATCACTGTATCTGCTTCTTTTCTTTGTTTCCTTTCTTTGTAACCTAGTCTCTTCTCTAAACACATGACATTTCTTTCAGTACAGGGGCGTCGGACACGGTATGGTCACTACGGTATTGACCGTACCACCTTTTGCCCCAGGTACCCCGTGAATTAATAAAATACTCTGATCTGTCTGATCTGTGATCTAAATTTCCAAAATGTTCAGCTCAGCCACCACTCCCCCACGAGTTAATTGTACTTCAGATTACTGACCGTACCTTTGACTAAAATACTAAAATACTAAAATACTAAAATACCTTCCGACGCCCCTGGAAGAGGTTGGTGTGACTTCGGGGATACTTGGGGAATTGTGTGTTGCTCCCGACGTGGAAGCTCGCGCTTTTCCTGCCGACTTGAATTCTCATTTGACTGACTCACGACTGCCATCCAGAGCACATGATAAGTCCATCGAACCTTTGACTCAGCAAACCTCCTAGAAAGCACCACTCCCTGCTCAATACACAGATTTTCGGCGAATTCACCCCTCATCAGTTGAGCTTGAGTAGGCTGAGGAAGATTGTGCCTGAAGAGCACCACTTATATAGTGCTCTGCAGGCACAAACATCACCAGGGATACAAACTTACAGAGACCCTCCGTTTCCAGCGCGATAAACACCTCGTGAACACCAGATAGCAGCGTGAGTCAGTGTCGCTATTGGAGGTGCCGAACAAACACTGAGGACCTTTGGCCATTCACAATGTTGTTGCCTTCAAACCATCTAATTTGCAAGCCCGCGCCGGGGACAACAAAGTTGTGTTTGTCGCGCTGGAAACGTAGGGAGCAACACCCAATTCACTTAATTATTATAAAAATAATATTATATCATATTCCCCTCCTAATGTTATTTCTATAACTTAGAACCTTCCAAGTTGTAAGACTGTTGGAGTGCGCATCCAAGATGTGCTAGAGCTGTTAGCCAGTTATTTGTAGAACGTCAGTACCGTCGGTCAGTGTCGTGCAATGTTATCGCATGAGCTGATTGTTTAGTAACTGGTGGTGTTAGTGGACAGTATAGCGTAACTTGTAGTTCCTTGGTCCTTTTTTCTTTTGTAAAAATGATATTACCTCTCTGTTAAAATTTTTTTATTAGTATCTTACTGGTATTCCTTCCACAAACGATAGGAAGCCGAAGACGGCAGTTCGAGTCCCATGACTTAACATTTCCCCCAAGATATTGACTGGAACAATCATCCAACTCATAAGGGATAGTAATGGCGCTGTCAGAAACTTTAAAATTGTTCCAAACATCGCGGAAGTCAAGTTCATCCAGGAATCTTCTGTAGCTGACATGGATTATCATATTCTCCTTTCCAAGTATTCCCATTAGCATAGTTTTGCAGGCTGTTGTTAGTTGAGAAGGACTGACCAGGTGGCTGCCGAGTGTCTGGCAGAACTCTTCACCGTCATCCCAGGTTTTGGGGGTACTTGTAACGAACATTTCACCTTCGTTGCCACAATCCACCCACGTGTTCACTGTATTAACACATAGACAATTTAGGAACAGCAATGAATACAGCAGCAATGAACACAACAGCAATTAACACAACAGCAATGAACACAACAGCAATGAATATGTCATGATCTGGATCGGACTCGTCGCGAAAGCGATCACGCATTGAGTTCAGCAGCCAAAGCTAGACTCCGAAATATTCCTGAGTTCTGTAAGAACCATGATTAGTCCTGCGAAGGATTTTGGCGCTTTCGGTAGTTGAGCAATCATGGCTTACAACTCGTG